GGATACGGGTATAAATTACCTTCTATTTTTTCTATGAATGAATATTTTCAGGAGGCAAATAATGTTACTTACGAGCGATACAATTTCAATAGTGCCAAACAAGTTGCTCAAGAATCAAGCAAGGATTACATTAACCGACTTCATGAACTTATTGGTAAATTTGAATTAGATGCCTTGGCCAATCTTTCGAAAAAGGAAATTGAGTAAAGTTTCAGAGAAAATGCTATCTTCTTTTCCTGATATTGTAAAAGGTAAAGGGTGTTTTGAAGGACACTGTGAATTTAAGCTAGATACATCAGTACGTCCTATTGTCGTGCCTCCAGGATATCCATATGGCGATGTGCTGTGGCTCTAAAGAAAGAGATAACAAGTTTGGAAGATCTAGAAGTGATAAAAAAAGTAACAGAGCCTACCGATTGGGTTATTGCTATGGTAGTTGTGAAGAAACCAAATAAATATGAATATGCATTGATCCTCATAACTCAATAAAGCAATAAAACGCCCGAACTACCAAGCACTGACTATTGAAGAGGTTGCTCCCCAGTTGAGCAAAGCCTAAATATTCAGCAAACTCGACCTCAAAGACGGATTTCTGCATGTCAAATTGACAGAAGATTCTAGTAAATTAACTAGGGGAGAGCGAGGCTAAATCGTACACCCATTTTTTTGGCCTAGAATTCAAGCTAGGTGATCTCGACAAGTGCTGGTATCTAGCAGCAGAATGCGCAAGTTTACAGTATCTGCATCGTTTTGCTATGTGTGCTAGTTTCAATGTTTCAGTAAAAAAACATGTTTCTACTAACTTGCTTCTAATTTTCGTCCAGTACTAAATAAAAAGTTAGTGAAGTAGCTTTTATTGTAGTCTATTAACTGTGAGATCATAATAAACTACATCCCTTAAGCTCTCTTTTGGTTATTAGCGATGATTGTTTAAGGTTTAAGTGATAGAATTTGAGTTTATGTTTATAAATTTCCACGAGGTACATATTGGGACTAAACCGTACAGCTCTGGTACAGGGTGCTGCTCATGTTCAGGGTGGGTCCATTCATCTTGCAGTGCTGGGGAGTCTGCAGAGAACTACATTTGTGGACTTTTTCTTCTTTCTTTTAATTTTGGTATGAAATTTTATAACTTTTTTGTAAACTTAATGTTTTTCATAAAGGTTGATTTTTGAAATGTAATTTCTTCTAAAATGTTTAAATTGTGATTCACTGTTTCTTAACTACAAACCTTTATATAGTAATAAAAAGTGTTTGTACAATAATTTGTTGCAGTACTATTATATTACTAACCTAAACAAATGATGTTTTAACTGCACGGTATAGCCCCTTCTACTGTACGGAATAGCCCCACCCCCCGGGGCCATTTCGTACAAGGTAACTTTTTTTTAATTACCAATTTTTACATGTAAAAAAATGCAATAGTTCCAAAATGTTTATATACAATCAGTAGCGAAATAATTAAATTATATATTGCTTGTATTTACATTACTTTTACTTCGTAATTTGCAATGTATCTACGAATCTCCCTTATGTGTACGGTATAGCCCCGCTCTCCCCTACATTTTGGACACCGTATAGAAGATACCTATGGTTAAGGCTACCTATTGGCATATGTTCGGCTCCAGAAGAATTCCAGCGGCGGCATGTGAATGAACAGTTTGAAGGCCTGGAAGGAGTCATTGTTATAGCAGATGATGTTGTTGTATTTGACAGTGTAGATACTGAAGAAGATGATAGGAATAAAGGAAATTAAATATATGACCCTGACAAGATTTTAACTGCGTAACAAATGTGAAGTGGAAAGTGAAAAGGTACCTCTTGTCGGTGATGCAAAATTTTCAGTACGGCTGATATAAGTAATTAAAGTCTAAAATATCGAAATTCAGGTTTTTATGGATTGTTATACCTCATTTAACCCAGAACAGGACAGTATCGGTTAAAATATTGAATCAAAGATGATTTATTTGAATGGTCGAAATAAATAATTTTGTTAGCCTCTGCATGGTCGTCAAACTATACCGTGATTTAAGACAAAAATTGGTATTGCCTTCAAAGAGTACATTAAAAGCTTTCTTTAATACCAAAATCGTTTCTTAAATAAAAAAAAACTGTTTTTATGCATATTTGAAGTTTTCAAATAGTTTTTCTCAAAATTACCCTTTTCCATAACAAAATTTCAAAGATCTATGGATAAAAAAAAAATCGTAGATGCATAAAACTTGCACCAAGTGATTCGGAATTTAATAAGGAATTCAAATATATATATATATATATATAGCTTATTCCCTATATGGCAAATTTGCTAATATAACTCAAAATCGAAAATTCCCGACGAGGGGTCCCTTTTCGCTTTCCACATCACAAATATGAAGGCACCTCAAAACAAAGAAGAACAGCAAAGATTTCTAGCATTCGTGAATTATTTAGGAAAATTTTCTGCTAAACTCTCGGATGTATCATTACGATCACTTTTAAAGGAATGTAATTTGTGGATATGGGAAAAAACTCATGATGAAAGATTTCAAAAATTAGTCCATTTGGTAACATTATCTCCAACCTTAAAATACTTTGATATAGAAAAGCCAGTAACTGTGGAGTGTGATGCTAGCCAGTTTGGATTGGGAACTTCTCTGATGCAAGATGGTAAGCCAGTGGCATACATGTCCAGGACTCTCAGAAAGGCAGAATTTTCATATGCTCTAATTGAAAAAGAATGCTTGGCAGTAGTTAATGCTCTAGAACGATTTGAACCCTACTTGTTTGGAAAACATAGTTGAATCTGATCATAAGCCATTAGAGACCATCTTCAAAAAACACTGAATTCTGTCCCAAAGCAATTGCAGAAAATGTATCTAGGACTGCAAAGATTTAATTTTGATATAATTTATAGACCAGGAAGAACCATGTTCATCACAGACTTTTTTTTTCTCGAACACCCATTAAAGGGGATAAATCGTATGAAGATAAAAGTATTCAAATCTTTTCAACAGAGTCTTAAGTGTTTTGAAAACTCCAGTTCAAGAATGTACTTAAATGTGACAGACGAAAGACTAGACCAGATCAAGAATATCAAAAAATCAGATGCAACTATGAAAAGACTAATTGACACTATATACAATGGATGGAGTAGGAAGCAACTATCTGAGGATCTCAAACAATATTGGCCATTTCGTGATGAACTAAATGTAGAGGATGGGATCATTCTCAAAGGAGAACGAATTGTGATTACAGCTTCATCACGAAAAGAAATAATACAAATAATACATTCCTCTCATCAGGGATCAGACGCATTGTATCAGACGTGAACAAGATGTGTTTTTCTGGCCCTGTTTGAGTAGAGACATAACAGATGATATAAGTCCTTGCAAGATATGCAAGATGTATGCACCAGATCAACGCAGAGAACCTTTGATACTTGAGAAAACTTCGGAGAGACCCTGGCAAAAAGTCGCCATAGATTTTTCCAGGAAGGTTTAGTTCACTATTTAATGGTTTGTGATTATTTTTCATAATTTGTTTTTAGTAAAAAGGTAACCAAATGCACAAGTGAAACCCTGATAGCATTTTGCAAAGAACTATTTGCAAGGTATGGAATACCAGAAGTGAGGTTTAACTTAAATTTTCATGTGCAAAGCCACGACGGGGTAAACTACTAATTTCTAAAACTCTGTTTAGAACTCTGTACGGAAATTAAATAAAAGAAACGTCTTATAACACTTAAAATTTTAATTTTACTAGTTTTTTAAAAGTTAATTTACTACTTTTGGTTTCTGTTGAGCACAGTATAAGGCAAAATTTTGAAAAAATTATCTAAAGTGATGTAACAGAGTTCTAAATAACTTCTTGATCAGCATTTTACGTGTTATTACATTTACGGAAAGTAAATAAAAGAAATGTCTTATAACACTTAAAATTAAAATTTTAAAAAGAAACGTGTGTTTATTAAAATTTTAAGTGTTATAAGACGTTTCTTTTATTTACTTACTCTTACTTACTTACTCTCAGGGCCATGCATATCTAAGAAGATATTTGGCCGCACCAACAAAGCCTCTCCATCTTGCTCTATCCTCTGCATCCTCCTCAGTTGCTCCTAGTCGCTCCATGTCTTTATCTACTTGGCTCCACCATTTTTGTTTTGGCCTTCCTCTCGGTCGTCTTCCTTCGGGATTTCTTAGTAAAACTAATTTTAACTTATTTTGCTCCTCTCTTCGTAAAACATGTCCAGCCCATCTAACTCTTCTACACTTAAATTCACACACCACATCTGGATCTCTGTAGAGTTCTCTCAGTTCTCTGTTGTGTCTCTTCCTCCAAGTCAACTGTTGTAGTTTGCTTGTTTATGAACATATTTTGATCATATTTGGAAAATACATATTAATTTCTTCCTAAACCACAGAATCAGTCTGTTGCAAGCGTAGAAACATCTGTTTGCCAGATTCAGTCTATTTTGAATTTCTATTTCTTCTTTGTTTTCCCTGGATAAGATAACCCCTAAGTACTTAAAATGTTCTACTTTTTCAAATTTATGGTCATCAAATTTATTTACTTTCCGTAAATGTAATAACACGTAAAATGCTGATCAAGAAGTTATTTAGAACTCTGTTACATCACTTTAGGTAATTTTTTCAAAATTTTGCCTTATACTGTGCTCAACAGAAACCAAAAATAGTAAATTAACTTTTATAAATTGTTTTTTTTTTTAGCCTTTGTCATTTCTGTTTACTCAGGCAGTATACAGCAGGGTGCATGCAAATGGGTCTATCATTGCTCTCACAGACGTAAAGCACAATGGGTGAGCTTATACAGTGTACAAACAATGACCAACCCTACTCATCAACTCACTAAACACTCTGTGTAATTGTCATATTGAAACAAAATCCCGTTTGGCTCCATTTACTGACAGTTAATCAATAATACATTCGGTGAAAGTTTTTCATATTAAATATTATAGAGCTTATATTTTAAGTTTCATTTTATGTTTATTCTGTATTTAACAGGTTCATGTGGATAATGGGAGTTTGTATTCCTATATCAGTGCGATCGCAACTTAAAAGAGGGACGCCTAGATGTACCATGTTTCTCAACAGCTTAAAGGTAAAATAACATGAACAAATCATTCTTTGCCATTCCAGTTAGTTGCCTTGATACAGTAGTTTTTTAACTGAAAACCTAAATTACGTGTGAACATTTGCTATCTACAGTAGATTCCCTCTTAACCGGACATCGGTTTAACCGGATTACAATCGGCAGAAATTACATCTCTTTAACCGGACAATTTTTATCAGCACATTGGTTTAACCGGACATAGATTGGCAGGAAGTGGGCGGTACTGAAACGACTGTTCTCGTTGGAAAGATTTGAGACCAGTGATCACGTGTCTAAATACAATGCTCTCCTAAATTTATTTGAAATATCACAGTAAACGGTCCATTTCAACGAGTTTTTGGGGACGTCGGTTTAACCGGAAAAACCGTTATCCGGACTGGCCTCGGTCCCGAGGAGTACGGACAAGTGGGAGTCTACTGTATTTCAATTTTACTACTGGTTCAGTTTTATTTTGCTAGGTTGCCATCCTTGGATAGTTTAATTCCTTGGATAGCTTGAATAACCTAGGCCTATTATACTTTATCAGCTTTATTTGATGTTAAAAGAAATTTATAACACCAATGCCACTAGGCTTGTAGGGACATAAGTCCCTAAAAAGCTTAAATGTAAAACAAATTATTGTAATATTTAAACAAACTCAGGATAAAATTATCTATGTGTCAGGATAGATATCCCTGTACAACATATCTTTTGTGTAAAAAACAGTTTGTTGTTTGTCTTTGTTTGCAGGCCCACTTTTATAAACGGGCAGACTGGGCATATGCCCAGGGGCGCCGGTGGTTGGGGGGCGCCCTGAACCACTAGGAAAAATAGGGTTTTATCAGCAGGGATTTCAAAAATAAAATGGGTGATTTCAACTTGTAGTTAAGTGATTTTCCATTATTGCAAAAATAAATAAATACAACAAAATTGAAACTACTCGACCTTCAGGTTATACCTCGTGTAGTCAAGGGAAAGGCAGGCAGCAGTGTGAACCGGGCGCACTCACTATACTATCAGAGGCAGGGAGGCCTGCATGGTGGAAGGAAAATACATAGGTGTGCTATTCCCGTCATATGCTGACGTCACTCAGATTGCAAGCACCATTTTACCATTGAGAAAAAATTATAAAAACAATAACAATCAAATCAAAACAAATAAATACTTATATGGCAATACATCAGCTGATTTTTTGTTTGCTATTTGGGTGATGTCAGCAAATTACGGGAACAGCCAAGGCCAGGTATAGTCTACAGGCCTACGGTTGATGTGCCCCTCCTCTCCCTCCCAGTCCCACCCCCATCCCCACAAGTCACCACTATCAACTACCGCGCGGCGCCACGCCAGTCCAGTACAGTAGTTGCAGCTAGTCTGGGCGCGCGGCCGCGCTAGGGCAGGGGGTGTAGAGGGGAGTGTTTATTGCTCATTTCCAAAAACATTTGGCCCACAAGGCTCTCTGGGGTTGTTCAGCGCCTCAGCGCTGTCTTCATGGCTTTGGCGTGGGAAACGGTAAGTACACAAGGGTCCGCGCGCCCAGACTAGCTACAGTAATCCTCCCTCACAGTAGTCAGTAGGTTGTGTTCATGTGCCTGCTGCACAGTCGTCAAATCAGTCACAACACAACCTAAACTGTGACAGTCACTATAAAAAATAGTCAGTGTTGACACTCACACTGCAGTTAGTGAACCAGTAGTAAATAAATAGAGAAGTTTTGATACAAGAAAGTAGGCCCATGAACAGTGAAAAATTCATTGAAAAAACTAGTGGAGCCGAGAGCCGTAAGCGGTTGGCTCAAAGAAAACAAACTCAAGAAGCAGTTTTAAAGAAAGTGAAATGTATTAACCAGTATTTCCACTGATACGGAATTGAAAACTCCCTCCCGAAACAAAACTGGTAAAAAACCACTCTAATATATAAATAAATATATATATATGCATAGACCATAGTAGAACCATGGAAAACACATACTCCCTTAGTAGAATCTCGTTCAATACGTGTGTAATGTAATGAACTGCACACTACTGTACTGAACAGTAATCAAATCACTGCGTAGTGCATTAAGCTACTGGCGCAGGGTAAGAGGCATTCGCATAGCAACTGCTGTCAAGTTCAAGTTCATTGCACTCACCCCAACCCCCTACCCACCTGCTGTGAATTTCGGCGAACTGATGAGTCAACCCCCGTTGTGTAATATACTTCGATGAACAACCCCCTTCCCTCTTTCCCTCCCTACACTGCTGTGGTCAAAACTTTTATAGTTTTATATATATATATATATATATACTATCTGTAACCCGTGGGCTTTGCCCCGTTTAACTTCTTAATTTTCAAGATGTTCTCGTTCGCATGGTTCAATCACGTCCTATTTGAAAATAAAACTTTAGACCCAGCTGAAGCAGTGAAACAGTCTAGAGCTCTTGAAATGGCTCAAGCTCAAGTCGAGAGCTATCCCAAATCTATGTACGGAATGCAAACTTGTGCAACAAATGAATTGGCAAAGCAAGCTTACTGTCAGTACCGTACGAATTCCAACTACAACAAAAGGAAGAAGCGACTGTGTCTGCTATTAAAAATGTCAATGGCAAGTGTCATTTTTGTGGGCATGACAGGCGCACTCTAGAGATCGCTGTCCAGCCAGAGAAGCAACTGATGGGAAATGTAACAAGACAGGACATCATGCGAGAGTCTGTAAAAGTAATCCTACTCAACATTTTAAAGTAAAAGAGAAGATGTCTAGTACATGAGCTGCACTAATAGCAACAACACATAATACATCTATCAATATACTTCAGCATTGTACATATACTTGAGTATCTTTTGTGTAGGCTACATAAGATGAGGATTTATTAAGTCTCAAGAGATTAATTTTGGTCTTGAAATGCATCTAACATTTAAATGTGAAGTATATTGTTTATGGCAAAGGTTCAAGATAACCCACCGTAATATCATTGCTTTATAATGTGTCCCCTTACTGAATTCTTCTCACTAAATGCAAAAATGTAATTGTTTTATGTCGGAAAAAGTCCTGAGTTTCCGGAAAATGGTATTACATTTTGGAAAAATTAAGATTAAAGGAAATGTTCTGGGGAGCGAGAGCAAAGCAAAGTTCTTGCAGTGACTAATACTTCAAGGGAAGGAAGGTATGAAGATTTTCTGAAAAATACTGGGTATTGTCTATTAGCTTAGGCAGTTTACGCTTCAAACAAATTTAAAAAAAAAAACTTTTTTCTCATTATTTCAGTCAACGATATTATTTTAACAGAAGTTAAATAAACTGCAAAACAATATTTTCGGGTCAAATTACATTTACCAAAGAACACTCCTAAGAGCATACTAATAAAGTTTCCCGAGCAAAGCTCGGTCCCCAGGTACTACTTTTATAAAAAACAAAAACAAATTATTTATTCAGCTGTTAGCTGTAATGTTTTTAAACTCCTAATTGACGTATAACAGGTGATTGTAAAGATATTTAGACAATGTAAAAGGAGTATTAGCATTATTTCCAACATATTTCTCTGTTATTATTTATCCGTTCTTAAAAAATAAGGTACCTACCTATCATTGGAAACAACATAAATTTTACTAACTTTTTTGTCTCTTGCAATTTGTTTGTAAAGTTAGCTGTTTTCGTGAAATTTGGCATCAAATATTTTAAATGGCCGCCGTTTTAAAATAGTTGATGATTTTTTAGTATAATCCTAAACAAAAATAGATCTTAATAAGATAAACATTTTTGAAAAATCTCAAAACGTTTAGCAGTTATTAATTTTTTGGTAAAAACACATAAATACAGACAGACGGAAAACAAGGCTCCACAGACCCGTGTTCCTATGTTGAAATGTGTTTGTCTTGACCTAAGCAGTAACGCTATATTATACATTTGTCCAGAGAGTTACAAGACACCCTGTATACATGTCCATTAGCTCAATAACTCAAGCAAAATTGATCCAATTTTGATGACATTTTGCATAAATGTTTAAACCTACATTAATTAAAACGAATTTGCGAACCAACATAATCAATCTATGGGAACTGGGGTTTATGGGGAGTTTTATGGGGTAAAAATGAAGTTTTCCCATTTTCCACCCTAAAAACATAAAATTTTGCAATTTCTTTCCAAACCATTTTGTATAGCTTAAAAAACAAATAATTTAGTATATTGAAGTGTTGTTGTATGCCTAACAGTTACAGAAAAAGTGTAAATTTAAAATTGCTATATTATTTTAATGAAGAATATGTGTTGTAGCTTGCTTGTCTTTTGACATATTTTGATGAAATTTGGAAAATTTGTTTACTTCATACTAAGCTATCAATATTTCAATGAAACACACTTTATTGTCTTCCCTGTAGCAGCAAACCTAAGTACTCAGCTCTTTTAAGTTTAAGCTCTTCAATGCATCTACTTCAATGCAAACTTTCTATAGTCCTCGCCACCCTAACTTGAGGCAGCCCAAGGCCGCACTAAATATACTATGTGCGGCCTCGGGCTGCATCAATAAGTTAGGGTGGCGAGGACTATAACACTATAACTCAATAACATCTGAACATATTTTAGCCAAACTTACCAAGGTTGTTTTTACAAATATTTGGATGGTTTGTACGATACAAATTTCAATTTTTGATAATGCCTACCATATATAATTTAAAAGTTACTCAAAGTTTTAAATTTTAACATTGGCCTTATTGGTTGCCATGATGGTTACAAAATAAAATAACAATGTAAATGTAAACAAAACAAATAATCATAGCATATGTTTTAAAAATACGCCTTGACCTAAACACAGTACAAAGGAAAAAAATTTGGATGATGACCACTGATCTAATAATACGGAGAAAGTCTTAAGTTTACATTTTCGTTGCAATGTGGAAACGGCCACTGATCGAATAGGTACAGTATTTTACAGATTTGATTTATGAAGCTAAATAAGGTTATAACAAATAACATTTATCTCATGTTATTGGGAATTAAAACAACTACATGAATCTACAGTTTTAAATAAATAGGTATTCTCAAATCCAATATTTTTATCCAAGCTGGCTATTATGAATATGCTTTGTTAATGTTTATTTTGGCTATTATCAACAAAACACGCGGTCTACAACTGAATTTAAACAACGCTTTCTATACTTCCCAACCAATTTTAAAAGTTGAAATATTTTTTATGCTATCATCGTGTTGGCAACACACTTGTTGTAGTGATTGTTATGTTGGCAACGACTTGGGGTATATAATTGCCCAAGTAAGTAAGGCTGAAGTATTTTTTGCGTTTGTGTTTTAAAAAAAAATGCGTATTTCGCATAAAAGTGTCATATTAAGGAAAATTTCAGATTGCATTCTCAAAAACTGTCTGATATTTTGTATAAAATGAAGCAATAAACGCCTGAAACACACGAACAACCACTTCCTGTTCCTGGCAATGTTTTAAAATAGTTGAAAGGAGAACACTTGCTTGAAAACAATTCTTTTCATATGTTAAATGATAAGTACAAGATAAACAAAAACAGATATTTTAAAGGTATGGTGAAAACTATTCATGAAATTCTCTCAAGGCAGGAATCACAGCTGAGTACACAGAGTGTTTGGAGTGTTGCAGTAGTAAACTTAAGTGGTGTATGTTATAACAGTGGTCTAGGCGTCCACACCAAGTAAACATTGAACAGTGAAATGTTAGCGAGCATTATTGTTCGTCCAGTGTGGACGCACCCTTAGACTTGTGTGTTGTAGAGGGGCTGCATTTTTATACTGTTGGGGCCAATGCTCAACACTGTCAGGGTCGAGCCACGCTGAGCACACCCAGAAGGTTTGGAGTTTTGCTGTGAGCTGTAGTAGCCTAAAAATAATTTAATGTTTATGTTACAGCGGGGCTGCACCCTCATACTGTTGGGGCTGATGCTCAACACTGTCGGGGTGGGGCCACAGCTGAGCACCCTTAGAGTGTTCGGAGTGTTACAGAGGTTTGGCATCGTCTACTTATTTGTATCCTCACTTGCCATCTTCCTCACTCATAGACCATCCAGGGACACAAGTCACCAGGTAAATCAATGTTTGGCTTTACTACCTACATCACATGGATAGTTCAATTATACACACAATATGCCTTCTAGGCTATTCTAGTTTAACTAGTGTCCCTGTTGCTCGAATTCGAGCAATTGCTAAGTATTACAGGCGTTATTTTAAAACAAATGAAAGTCATAATTTCTGATGACTTTAAAAGATTTGACTCAAAGATTATGGAAATACTTAAGATGTACCTACCTAACAGATCAATATAATCAACATTTCTTGTAAATATCTTATCATTTTTCAAAAGCTGATCTTGTTTTTTTGTGTTTTCTACAAATAGCCTTACTCATAGCCGCATTAGGTTGAAACATAGTTTGCAAATCGGCTCTTTCAATGATTACTAAGAAATGCAGCACAGTGTTAATCGATTTTTCTTTTTAGTATATCAATTTATCCAAGCTTTTTTCCATTGTAATATTTACGCCAACCCACATTCAAATAGTAAATATTTAATTTCAACCAAGTCAGTAAATGTTTGTACCAAACTGTTAAATTAGCAAACTTGTTGATTGTTTACAATTAACTTATGTTCTTCTTCTCACTTTTAATTTTTGACAACAGCTGGAGTTTTATAATAATTTTTTCCCATGCTAATCTTATGGAGAAATACAAAACTTTAAAGGGCCCAAGGGCCTCACTCTCTAATTATTTTCCTAAAAAGAAAGTTTCCTGCACAACTTCACGTTACGCTCATCCCAACGACACCAAAAACATGTCAATCGGTTCAGTAGTTTCGGAGGAGTAATTGTCACAAAAAACCTGCCACAATTAACAAACGGTCTTTATTGAATCAAAGTTAACAGTGTAAACAAGGTATTAAAAAAATACCCCCGCTGCAGCAAACCAGCCAACTAAGGTAATTTCAATTTGCCTGGATTGATTTTCAATTAATCTATTAAATAAAAATGTATGTTTAACGAGTACCAAGGTTAGCTGCTACAGGGAAACTAATAAAGTGTGTGTTTTTATTAAAATACCAATAGCTTAGTATGAAATAAATAAATCCGCCAAGTTTGATCAAAATATCCATAAACAAGCCAACAACAACATTTTACAATATTCTCCATAAGAATAACATGGGAATTTTAAATTAACATATTTTTTTATTTTCTCCGTAACCAATCACCATACAAAAACACTTATTTGATATACTAAATTATTTGTTTTTTTTAAGCTCCTTAAAAACTCTCTTTAACTCTCTTAGCTCTTTCAGAAAAATTGATACAACGCTCAGCAAATCTTTCTAATAAACTGACCAACTGGGAAAAATTTTGGCAAATTATGAATGAAAATATTTTTTTGAAAATACCCCTGAAAACGCCAGATGAAATCGATGATGCGGTAAAGTTTCTTAATTCTACAATTCAAATGTCTTGCTGGCAATCAACTCCAGGCGACAAACAAAAGAACTTGAATCATATAAACTATCCAGTTGAGATAAAGCGGAGAACAGCGGAGAAAAGAAGACTAAGAAGAATATGGCAACAGTCACTTAACCAAAGGGATAAAGCCAATTTAAATAAAGCTTCTCAAGATCTAAAACAAGTGCTAAAGAATCTTAAAAATAAATGGTTTTGTGATTTTACTGCAAATTTGTCTCCAACTGAAAGTACAAACTATTCTTTGTGGAAGGTTACTAAGACAATGAAACAAACTAAAACTCCAGTACTCCCTCTACTTAAACCCAACGGGTCATGGGCCAGAAGTAACGAAGAGAAAGCGATTTTGTTTGCTGACCACCTTTCAACAGTGTTCACGCCAAATACAAATTTGAATAACAACTACCAAGAAATTGAAGAATTCCTCGACTCCCCCAATCAGATGTCATTGCCGATATCTCAGGTTCAATCTTCTAAAGTGATAAACGTTATTAAGGGATAAAACTGCACAAAGCCCCTGGGTATGATTTTATTACAGGAAAGATTCTCAAGGAACTTCCAAGAAAAGCAATTTTATTCTTTACTCTAATTTTCAATTCCATTTTGTGAACTGAGCATTTCCCTGCTCAATGGAAAACATCTGAAATTATAATGATTCAAACGCCTGGAAAACCGCCAAATGACCAAACCATCAAAGTTAGTTAGTACCGGCCTATCAGTCTCCTCCCCATTGCCTCAAAGGTTTTTGAAAAACTTCTTTTAAAGCGACTTCGTTTTGTGATTGATGAGTTCAGGGCCGGAACAAAGGGGGGGCAGAGGGGGCGGTTGCCCCGGGCGGCAGGGTTGAGGGGCGGCAAATTTTTGGTGCAGAAAATTTGTTTAATACAGTTTGTAAAAGTTTTTAATGAGCCAAACGTCATAAGGAACGTCAATTAAGTAATTTCAAAACTGCATAACGTAATAAACAAACAATAATTTTACAATAGCAATCAATATAAATTGCAACGGAGAAGAAAACACTGAGAGCCCTAATAGCATAGTTAGTTAGCAGCACGGCAAAGTTTGTTTACAATTTCAGCTGATCGCCATCCCAGTCAAGGCGCCATGCCACCCTGCCTCACTGCCGTGCCGCCCCCCCCCCCCTCCCACTCTACATAAGAACGCACCGCTCCCCTTCCACACCACTCGCTATCAGCGCACAGGTTCACTCTTGAAAAGTTCAGGTTGTGACTTGTACTGTTTATATCAAAACTACTGCGTCTTTTGTTGCGTTGCGTAGTGCAACTACTGTGTTCCGTGTTTTCTGCTGTCGTCTAGTTTTTTCCTTCTACATGCATAATTATCATCTGTTATCGCACTGGTAATAATGTAATGTTTACTTCTTTTTACTGTCGCCTTGTTGTTTAATATAACATGGATGGTCGAAAAAGGCTTAGTGGAGCTCAGTACAAAAAATCAGGAGTTTCAGCCATAATAACTGTACTGGATAGCGCGCTAGGTGGTGGAAAAACGGTCCGTGCCCGTCAATCGAATTGGCGGGATACCGAGGCGGACGGGCCGAATGAACCTCTCTGTTTTACACAAATATACAGTCACTCAACCTGCTCTGCTACATTTATTTGTTAACATAAAAATTTCAAATTGATATATTATTTTCCTGAAAAACCCAGTGCTTTTTACTATTTAGTTAGTTTTTACCTTAACATATTTCTTATAATTTATTTAGGCAAATTAAAACTGATGATAGTTTTTTAACACCATTAAAAACATGAAAAATGTAGTAAGCGAGGAACTTTTTTATTTTTTGGTCAGGAAAAAAATTCCTGCGGCAAAGTTTTAGGTCAAAGAATTAATTTAATTTTTTATTTGAAGCTTTTTTGATACGGAGTCTGCTTGTATCATTTTTAAGCGATTAAAAATAGGCATAAAATCGCTTGGCGCGGCATTGGCGCTAGGAGCTCGGCCGGCTCAGCACCAGTTTACGGGATCTAGATACTGCGTTTCTAGCATTTATTATCATTTTATTACATCAAATATGTCATTACATTACAAAGAATGGTAACTAAATTTACAAGCGTATGTTGATGCATTTTAATGCTTATCGGTAGTCTATAGTTAATAAAATTCATAGAATCAAAGAATAAATGTTGGATTCGACAGTAGTATTTAATACCTGAGAAAATATTTTGTTATTATTTTACTTCAGTGAGAATAATCAATACATTTGAGATATTGGCATTAAATATTATACACTCATTTTATTTAGCAACATAATATGTTTTCAAAACACGTTAATCACAGTATGACAAAGAAACATACACTATAAAATTAAATGTTGCAAAGTATCTCAATAATAATTGGTCCTCACAGCAGCAAATGATGACATGCTTTGTGAACAAATAATTATTGTGATATATTTTGCTCTGTTTCATGTTCAAATATTAATAAATCTAACTCTTTCATGACATCACTTAATTTCTTATGGGATTTACTTTTGACACATAGTCGATAAAGTGTGAGCAAGTACGTAGATTAATTATATCTGCCTATAAAACCTCCTTAAGTTCGTTACAATCAATTATCCTCGGAATATTTCCACAAAACTATCATAGCATTACACGGCGAGAGCGGGCGCGACGCTCGCCACTAGGGTGACTCATGCCTTTATCCATTATATAGAGATCTAATAGATCTATGCTTTATCCCCACTCCTCGCGGACTGAGCGAGGCAGCGGCGGACCAATTTTCGAGCCCTACTTCAACCTGAGCGCACAATCCAGGGAGTTATCGATTTTGAACCGTTTGGAAAAGTGACTCAGCATACAGAAGGTGAACTTCTTCATTTATCTTCATATCAGTTGATCTTGAGTCTTGAGACAAAGGTGCTCGAGATAAACAATCAGCATTTTCATTTTCATCTCCTGATTTGTTTTTCAACTTATAATTGAATCCAGAAAAAAGCATATCGAAGTAATCGAGCTGTTGTCATTTTCGGCAAAGAGTGGTCATGACTAAAGATTCTGCTCAAAGGCTTATTATCTGTGACAAGAGTGAACTGGCTTCCATACAAGTAGTTATGAAACTTTCCAACAGAAAATATAATAGCAAGTGCCTCTTGATCTAGTTGATTATAATTTTGTTCTGCAGGTGTTAGTGATCTGGATGTGTAAGCGATAGGGCGTTCATGACCATTTACGATGTGGCTAAGTATTCCCGCAATGCCAACAGGGCTTGCATCGCAAGAAAGTACAACTGGCAATTTTGGATCATAAGGAATCAGGACTCTGTCACTGCAAATCTCTTGCTTGAGCTTTTGGAAGGATGATTCACATTCTGTCGTCCATTGAAAACGGTGTTTCTTCTTGAGCAACTCCCTTAAGGGACAGGACAACGTAGATAGATTTGGAATGAAACGTGAGTAATAAGTAATCATTCCAAGAAATCTTCTGACCTCATCAGCGTCGTGCGGTCTTGACATTTCCATCACTGCCTTTATCTTCTCGGGAGATTTGCTGATTTTATTTTGCTCAATCAGATGTCCTAAGTATTCAATCTTTGTTTCAAAAAATGTACATTTCTTTCGATTTAGATGTAAGTCGTATTCTGTTAGTCTTCTTAAACACATTCGAAGGTTGTGAGCACATTCTGCTTGGGTTGCTCCATGGACGACTATGTCATCGAAATAAGCTTCACACTTATTAAGTCCATTGAGGATTTGTGACAAAATTCTGTTGAATTCTAAGGGAGCGGTTTTTATGCCAAAACTGAGACGGTTCATGAGAAAGGTTCCCTTATGTGTTGACATAGTTTGGATTTCACTACTTTCTTTGTCTACTGCTAAATGTAAGTACGCTTTATAAAGGTCAAGTTTGCAAAAGTATTTGGAATTTCGGAGACTGTTAAGAACATCTTCAACCGTCCTTATAGGAAAATTAGCCGAGACTAACCTCTCGTTTACACCGCACTTGTAATCCACACAAAGTCTCAGTCCACCATCTGGTTTGGGAATGATGACGAGAGGTGATCCCCAGTCACTTGTCGCAATCGAGTGATGATTCCCTCTTTTTCTAAAGATTCCAACTCCTTTTCAACACGTTCTCTAAGTGCATATGGGACATCACGTTCTTTTGTAAATACCGGTTTTGCGTCATCTCTTAAAGTTAATGAAACTTGAATGTTAGGAACACAACCAATTTTTTCCTCAAAAATTGAAGCAAACTCATTCAGAATGTTATTCATATCTTGAAAGTTCTTTTTGTTGCCATCAACCAAATGGACTTTTGGATTAGTTTTCATGTCATGATCGATTTGTTTTAGTTCAATGTCGAAAGCACGGATCAAATCTCTACCTAAAATAGGATCGTGGCCTGATGAAACTACATACACTTCTGCTTTTAAAGATCGTTCTTTATATTGTAATGTAACTTTTGCTTTTCCTTTACATGGCACAATATCATTGGAATAAGCTCGAAAATTTAGATTTGAAGGTTGAAGATCTATTCCCAAATTCAATGCTAAGAACTTATCCTCTGGTAAAATTGTGTACCGTGCACCAGAATCTACTTCCATCTTCAGTTTCTTGTGGTTTATCGCTACCTCTACTATGTACTTTCCATGTCCAGGTTAAATTTCGTAGAGGTTGATGATTTTCTGATCTTTGGATACTGAACTGATTATGTTGCATGCCCCGTAGGAACAATCAGATTGTGAGTCATTGATCATATCATTGTCAGAGAATCGGTTAACTTGTTTACTTGAAGCATATTTCTTGGTCAGGGTATTGATGCAAACTTTTTGAATGTGGCCATTCTTCTTACATGCTTCACAGAATAGTTTTTCACGCCTTATTCGACACTGGTTTGATCGGTGGTTCGATGTTCCACATCTGAAGCAAAGATTGTTGATTCCTAAGGACTCATAATCGATTCTTTGGCTTGATCGATGCTTGTATGATGGTTTTTTCCAGGGAGATGATGTTGATGATGATGATGATGATGTCCGAGTGGATGGATGATCGTGTCTAGTGGTCTTCTGAATTTTCATTATATCTGGCACTGAAGAACTAGGGATCAGAGGTTTTGAAATGTTTGAAAGTTCCTTGCACTGGATTTGGGCTGCTTCAAGAGCTATAGCTCTCCTGACTATTTCATCAAAGTTCTCTTCCTTTCCTTGTAAAAGTTGTTCTCGAATGCTATTATCACGAATGCCCCTAATGAATTGAGCCCTTAAGAAAATGTGAGCTGTTGAAATGTTTTCTCTGCATTCACATTTTATGTAAAATTCACAGTCAGCAAGTCGTTTTTGCAAACTTGCAACATAGTCAGGTATGTTTTCACTTTCTGATTGGTAAGTGGAGAAAAAGTAATGCTGCGACACTACAGTATTCTTTTTAGGCGATAGCATTTCGCCAAAGGCTTCAACTAGCTGTTCATATTCCAAGTCTTTGATTTTCTTTGTAGGTCCTTTGAATGCAACTAAGTTGTTGTAATGGATAGAACCGATTGATGCACATAGAATTTGAGCTTTTTTAGTTTTGTTTGACACATTCTTCATGCTGAGATAGTTTTTAAATCGTTCAATATAGGCTGAAAATCTTTCTTTTTCTGAGTTGTAACTTTCAAATTGAGCAGTTGGATCTGGTGTGTTATCTTTCATTTTTTGTTCTAGTTTCTCAAACAACAGAAATAGAAGATCCATTTGTTGTTTCTGGCCTTCTATGAATTTGTCAAATTGTTCTGAGTTCATTTTGTTGTTGTAACTTGAATGTTCCTAAGCCTGAGATGTAGTTATTAAGGGGACTGTGACTCGAAATTTTTTTAAAAAAATCAATTTTCTTTTTTTTTATATGTTATTATTCTTTGAAATCTCCTCTTTTCTGTGGTATAATTAGTTTTTACAGGAAAAAATCAGAACACCTGTAAAAATATAGTTTATTAAGCTATAACAAGCGTTTCGAGGGCCTCGCCAGCCCTCGAACAGGAGAATCACACGCCCCACGCGTGTTTTTTTATTAAATTGCTCTTCCCGAAAGTGAATATTTTATAACTTAGATGTAAGTTTTCTCAGCTCCTATATAAGATAGACTTACAAAATTTTTATGACAGTATCCTGATATGATTAGCTAGTATGCTACATGGTAATTTTAAATTTCATTAAAAAACAATATTGTAAATAATTTTTTTATTTACAAAAAATATTGAAAAAAATTATAAATTTAAAAATTCCAGTAAAAATTGAAATTTTAACCTAGGTAAATAATTTCATGTAGCATAGTAAATAAAAGGCTAATGAAAAATACAAAAAAAAATTATGTCTCTATCTTGTATAGTTTTTAAGATATGCTGCATAAAGTTAACATTGATTAATATAGGCGTTTACAGTCCCCTTAACATGTTATTTGAAGAAAAGGTAATTGAAAAAAAATGTAACTGGTCATTAATGTATGAATAAACAAATTTATACTTTTACCTCGTCGCCAAAACTGTTGTAACTCTTTATAACATAATAAAAGATAAATCAGATAAAAAAGTGTATTATTCCATTAACATAGAATAGAAACTAAACATAAACAATAGTAATCAATAAGAATAAAGATCATATGATCAGCTGGTAATTCAAATGCAGTCTATTAAAAATTATAACAGTATGCTATCACTGCTCACTTGAGTTTAGATTCCTTAAGGACTAATTTTGAATTATATTATACAAAATTTGATATATTGCAATTCTCTTACAAATTATGTAAGTAATTAATACCTATATTTTTGCTAATTATCCTACTAATATTATATCAAGTCGAATAGATTACAGAATAGGAACCAAAACCAGTTCGAGTCGGGTGGTGTGAGGGCAAGCGGCATCCAATCAGCTTCAAGAAAACTGTCTGTTGCCAAGTTGTGCCACGCACTCAGTCTTTGCCCGACAGCCGACCTTGCGTTTTGTCAAGAAATTGCCTTAAAGTGAGCTTATAATTAGAAACGGGCCAGTAACAAAGCTACACAAGGCATCTCACTCCATTCTACACTCATCCTTCACTCATTTAGGTTAAAATACGCTCATAGGTGGCGTCCCCATCTCAGATGAATAATTAATATGGAAGATTGTATCATCTTCATTTCCATGTTAATTTTGTTTCATGTATCAAACAATAAGCTGAGCAATATTTTAGAAGATTTTTAGAACTGCTACACAAATTGTTTGGTCATATAAATTTACTGTTATTTACTGTTACGGTAATTTATTGATTCAGTTTAAATTTATTAATTTTTATGTTTATATATTTTTCAAAAAACTGCATCTGGTAGCTGTTTGAGCCATTTTAAAGACAATTGTGTAGAAAATAATCAAACCATAATAATGTATGTATACGATATAAAAATATAACAATACTAATAGCCGATACCACCAAGAACAAATAAATTATTTAGAGTAAGGGGGGTACCGGGCTCTAGGTGAAAGTCAGCTCACCAGCCAAGAACGATGTGGCAACGTCGCATCCCCTACCTCTTTAAAGGCCAGTCCTATTCTCCTGTAATCTATTCGACTATAATATAAATGAAGTTGTGGGCTTTGTTAAAAAAAAATAGGCCATGGATATGATTATTTACTGAACATGGGAATAAGGCAATACAAATGAGTTTAATCAATATTAGGCCTGGCCTATCAAGTTAAAAAATGACTTTCTGAGGAGTGATTCAGGAAAAAGGAAATTATAAGTGGTGTAAAGACAAAATCAACATATTTAAGAAACATAATACTAAATAATGAATGTGTTAAATGGAATATTACAATTAGTAGATAGAACTAGACATTTCATTTCCATGGTAAAGTTGTAGCCACTAACAGAGTGCGCTGATATGAGTTACTGATCTATATTGAATGTACAATCATTTTATCCAAGCCAAACCGATAGGAAAACTTATTGTGGATTATATATCAACTTATTTTGAATCAACTTTATTTTAGCAACAAAAACAATTTCCAAATTAGCCATTTTTTTAATGAATGGCTATTTTAGATTCAACACACTTCATTTTATTGCTCAAAAGCTAGTATTTTTAATATGTACTTAGCTAACTGAATACAAGTACAATGTTTCAGAAACCTCCACCTCATGTTCTATCTGATGTGCTGTCTCTTTCTCCTCAGTGGATTGTAGTGATTGCTATCCTGGCTGTGCACACATTCCTCACCTTCTTTGTACCTCTACCAGGATGTCCATTGTAAGATATTTTCTATTATTAATCTTAGGGTGTCATTATACCCTATACAGGGTGTTTCAGAACTCCCTACCAATATTTTAAGACATTGTTCCCGGGTAATAATCATATCTAAATATCATTATTATTTAAATTGTCCTTTAGTTACTCACACAGCCGCAATTTTGTTTTTTTCACTCAGTCAGTTCCTCTAACTTTTTACACTCACTTTTAAAGTGTACACTCAGTGTAAAAGGTTAGGGCCCTTTCACACGAGGCCACCAGTTACCGGCCGGGAAACTGCAGTGGATGGTACAGGCAACTTACAAGCCACTCTACTACAGCCACTGTACTGGTAGAAATGCTGTACATGCTGTCGAACAATGAACATCTCCTTCTTCTCGCATTGATAATAAAGAAAATAAGGCAAAGACACAGGCGTACTATACCGAATAGCCGGTTACTTTTCAATTTCGCAAATTAGATCATCAGTATCCACTTTGTTTTCTATTATTTTGTTTATTCTCTTCTTCTGTTGTTTTCCTTTGCCTTTTTCTTTTTCAGCAACGTCCTCTTTATTTTTCTTCTGATCGCTCATTTTCACAAACAAACAATTCAACACGAAAACATTCAACAACTACAACCATAGTGCGTTTGTCTTTGCAGTCTGCACGTGAACTGATTCAAAATAGTAGCTGCGTGCTCATCCACGGTGGCGGCCACTGGTTGCTACGTGTGAAAGCTCCCATATAATTCAATGCCCCGCGACGAGTTGCCGCCACTGCAGTTGCCGGCGGTGGCCGACTAGCAGTTGCGCGAGAAGACACTGCTCGGCCACTGTGTAGTGGCGGGCAACTACAGTGGCTGTGTGTGAAAGGTCCCATTTAAAATAATGTTAAACCTGTGGCGGGCAACCAGTGGCGGCCACCGGTGGCGGCCACCAGTGGCCTCAAGTGAAAGGGCCCTTAGAGGAACTGACTACACTGAATAAACAATAACATTAAATCAGCTGATTAGTTTGTAAGCAAGTACGTTGACTTTCCCCACGGCTGATATAAAAGGTTTGGGTGTTTTGTGTGAATTTTGAAGACAGTAAAAAAGGTGTGCAATTTTTAAGCCATCCTAATGATAGATAATTGATAAAAAATACAGTTTTGGGGTTATGTAATATTTTATTATTGTTTAAAATAATCTAAATTTACTTAAAAATAACTTGCAAAGAGAACGGTGATTGTTGTATTGTTGGGCAGACTTTAGCCTATGCCTCGACATGAACTGCAACTATAACCTCCAGCGGTCATGTATCACTAAAGCTGTCATGTCTCAGTTAATATTCGTATAGTATTAAAAAATAAGGTGTCAATCGATTTATTATTAAATTCCTAAAAAAAGTTATACTTGTAAAATGTTTGTAAAATCGGCGGTTTTTAAGTTATTTAAGAAACAAAAATTTTAACTGTCGCCATTTTGTTTTATGAATTCTAAATTTTGTCCTAATTTTTCTGTAGCTTTGTCTAATTGTCATAAATGTTTTTGCAAAGTTTCAATTTCCTACGTTTAACCATTATGTAGAAAAAAAAATGATAAGCGAAAAAAACAAAATGGCGGCTGTGTGAGTAACTAAGGACTTCTGGACAATTTAAGTATGATATTTAGATATAATTCTTACCCGGGAACAATGCCCTAAAATATTGGTAGGGAGTTCTGAAACACCCTGTATAGAAATCCTGGATATGCTTTTATTATATTTGTTCATCACAAAAAATAAACGGAATCTTATATTGGGAATCAAATATGTTTCTCTTGAATGGAAAATGTGAAAAGCTAACCACTTGGAAGCTCATATTATTTACAATAATTTATTCTCAACACTTATAATTTAATAAACCAAAAACCATAAAAGTAAGGTTTATATGCATGCTTACTCTAACATATACTTCTCTGAAATGGCTCTACAAATTCCCTTTGAAAATTAACATTGAAGAGGTCCAAAAAATTTGATCTTTGGAAGGAGTATATCATTGAATGTTTTAGTTTTTAATTTACTATAAATAATGGTTATTGCTTAAAATAATTTTTTAGATTTTTCACGTTTATTTTCAGTATAATATATGAATATTAATATGTATAATAATAATAATATGAGTATAATAATGTGAACTATCAAATCAAATCAAAATATACTTTATTCAAAAAAAAAATAGAACAGTAGAAAACATAAACAAAAACTACCAGTGAAACAGATATTGTTCTGTATTTAAGTACTTATTACTATATTTATCTATATAATTAATACGCTACATGAAACTTTGTCGGTTGAACTCCTCCGCCATTTCTTAACCGATTTTATCCATTGACGTCTCATTGGAAAGAGCGTGTCGCGTAGATTTGCAAACTGGCATTACATTTTTGAAAAATTCCCTTGGGCTCTGCCCCAGTGGCTTTGAAAGTTCCCATGTTATCCTTATGGATAACTTAATTGTTTACATTTTGATCAGCTGTATAATTTAATTGCTGTTACAGTCTTTATTTTTCAATTCGAAACGCATTGAGTACATTTATTTACTATTTCAGTTTGTGTAAACATAACCCCCAAGTTTGATGGTGTTAGTATGGTTGTATCTTAAATTTGTGTATTTATCGTTGTTTTGTGTTGCTATGACGGATTGTGTTAGCTTGATCGTAACTTTAATTTGTGCATGTATCGTTGTTTTGTGTAGCTATAATTTGTTTATTTGTTGTTTCTTTCTTTTAAATGCCTCCGACGCGACGACAACGTGAAACATAGGCAGGAGACGTAATCGTGATAACGACCGCAGCTACAGAACAGTGGCGCGTAATAGGCTTTAACTCATCACAGTCAGCACCTGACCCTGGACAATCTCAACTACAGTATTAGATTACAAATGCGCCCTAACACTACCCCAAAACGACTTTTCTTTCTCAATTGGCCCTCTATCAATGACCTGTGTTGCCTGTACAGCGAGGCATTTTGAGAAGGAGAAAACCGGCCGGAATGCTTTAGGTTTATCAATAACAAAGATAAACATGGTCTAAGTTACTCACCGGTAATCTTTAGAGTTGACTCTTTTAAACTCATTGTAAATATGACTGTTATTTGTTTTGAAATAACTCATGTAATACTTTGCAATTGCTCGAATTCGAGCAACATGTACACTAGTTATTATAATTATTGTTCAATTTTAGTGATAGCTTATTTCCAAACCAAATCTGTCTTTTTAAATCTCATTTTAATCTGATTAAGGATTGTTATATCAAATGTTAGAGTCTCACTCACACAAGCCTACACTAAACACACACACTATCTCGGCTGTGTTGCCCGATGCAGGACGAATCCTATTGGTTACAAAATGCGGCGTGATATGGACATGGATAAATTTGTGGTACCCCTCTAAGAAACATTGAGGTAGCGTCCCTTCCCCCTCCAAAAATCATGTTTAGTTGAAATGTAACTCTCCTCGGCTGAATACGTGCATTGCGCCGTATTTCATTACTCTTTCTCTATTTATAAACTTTTACCGCTAAAACCGCTTCTCGGGCTCTCTAGCCCTCTTTAATCGTTCGTCACGAACAATTAAACTGTCTCTACGTCAAACTTGCTGAAAAGTGTTTTTAAAATTAGCTATTTAAAATGGATGCCAGGGCTCAACACGCCAACCAGCTGCGCCGGGCTCAACATGCCTCTAGTGCGGTTCGTACCGTGCTCAACACGCCTCTAGTACGGGGACGGGATGTACCGGGCTCAACATGCCTCTAGTGTGGTTCGTACCGTGCTCAACACGCCTCTAGTACGGGGACGGGATGTACCGGGCTCAACATGCCTCTAGTGTGGTTCGTACCGTGCTCAACACGCCTCTAGTACGGGGACGGGATGTACCAGGCTCAACATGCCTCTAGTACGGGGACGGGATGTACCGGGCTCAACATGCCTCTAGTACGGGGACGGGATGTACCGGGCTCAACATGCCTCTAGTGTGGTTCGTACCGTGCTCAACACGCCTCTAGTACGGGGACGGGATGTACCGGGCTCAACATGCCTCTAGTGTGGTTCGTACCGTGCTCAACACGCCTCTAGTACGGGGACGGGATGTACCGGGCTCAACATGCCTCTAGTGTGGGGAACTATTAGTGAGTGATTTGACTAGTTAATATGCCAAATGGGCTAATTTGTCCAGTCTAGAAAAGTGAAGTGTTTAAAATGTAATAGCTACTTAAACAGTTTTTAAGTGTTACTTACCTGAAATATAAACTTATAAGGGATTGTAAGAAGTAGTTCATAAAAAAAGAAACAATGAGCATTAAGAAAATCGTAAAAACAATATCACAGTTTGTTGCACTAGGCCTGAGGCAGCAGGTCACAATGATTTAAAACAAACAGTAAAAATAATTACTTTTTAAAAGTAGCCTACTATTTGTATTAAAAAATCACAATGTATGCATCAAGAATATTTTACTCAAACTGAACAATTTTTTTTAACAGACAAGAGATAGCACTACGAGACTCAAAAGGACTACTATTAACCTGTTCATAAAGCTAAACCTGTTAAGTTGTAGCTACAGGATTCAGCAGAATCGGCGAGAGTTATCAGCACATTTGTTTACTTGAAAACTTGACCCTTGTATTTGCACTGTTGTCATTTAGTACAGGTAAAATAGGGTTTTATAAACAACAAAATTTGTACATTCATGAAATTTCACCTGTGAGTTACTAATAATATGAGAAATGAAGACCCGATGAGTCCCCAAAATTTTGGGCGTCCTAAGGCCCTTTTTGGGGCCCTTTTTGTTCCGAAGGTCCCTTGTTCCTGAATAATTTTGTTTTTACGTTTAAGGTCGAGTGAGGTGTGGTTTTCGATGGTTTTAGTTATTTTAAATCGATTGGGAGTAGTTTTAAGTGAATTAAACCACACCATACAGGGTGTTTCGAAATATTATTACTTTTTACGATATTTAAACATTTATTCATAAAGTAATAAAGTTAGTTACCTCCATGCTCTATATAA